TTTACAAAGTTTGAGTGCATGCGCTTTGTAGTTGGGCATGTATACTCAATGACACATTACAATAGATAAAATGGTGGGTTAAACTTCTTAAAATAGGCTGCTACCAGATCGGGCTCGTGATTAGTAGAGTGAACCCATGTGCTCAACCTAGCATATTGTAGTTTGGTTGTAATTTATCGAATTACATTATTATATACTTCAACCAATTCTCATTCCAAGGATTACCCATTTAGAGTCATTTGCAATTAGTTTGAGCTCAATCCATCAAGAATCTAAAGAGAAATCTCAACATTTCGATATTATCCAAAAATATAAGTTTTATAAGGAAATTAGCTAGATTTGAACAAATCCATGAATCAAAATATGCAATTGATAGTTAAACATGATTAAAACAAATGCTCTAAGTTACTGGTCTAACAAGAAGAGAGAGAGATGTTTGCCTTCGTTGAAATTTACCTTTTTGCCATGGATTGAAAAAAATCGCATCTTTATCTAGCACAAACGATTCTAGATGAAATCTGAGATTCAAACAAAGAAATTGAGCACAAAAAGGAAACTTATCTTAGTTTGGATCTATGGCTTGGATGGTTGATTTATTCTCTGCCCACTCTATTGATCTCCTCCTTTATCAAAAGTCTCCACTCTCTCTAATCTCACTCTTTTCTCTCTCACTCTCACTCTCTTCTTTGTAGATTCTGCCTAAAAGTGAACTAGAATTTTAGAAGAGAATTATCTCTTTCTATTTATAGGAAATAATACACTCATCCTAAAACATCATAATATTTACGACAATACCACCCATGGCTAATCTTGCACTTATACTCTAATTTAACCTCTCTAAACTCTCGGATTGACCCTCTTATCTTCCTAACTCAAGTCTAAAACGTTAAAGATGGTTTGGGTCTAGTCTAGATATGGGGTGGTTGATTTTTGGAACTTTTGGTCAACTTAGTCAAAGGTATCCGTATCCATATAAATACGAGATACGATTTTGGTGGACATTACATATCTTGAATATTAGAAAAGACATGAAATGAGTGTTTTTACGATCAAGAGCATTTTGGATTTGGAAAGTCAGATCTAATAATGTTGACTAAGGGGTTATCTGACCAAATGATACGAGTCGCCGGACGAGCACTCTTGATCGCGGAATTATTAAGAGTGGGTTGTGAAGAAGACAAAAGAAAACACACAAGAATTGAGTTGGTCGAAGGAAAATACCTTCTCTAGATTATGAGAAATAATAGATTACAAATCTCTCTCTCACAATCTCTCTAGATCAAAGAACAATCTCCCTGATCTCCTTTCTGAATACAATCTGCTTAGCAAACCCTAGAAAAATCGTGTTTCAATATATATCAAAACACAAACCAAAAGCGAACAAGAAACTGAAAACCAGGCCCAGCCGACTCGCGGTCGACCACAGAATCCATAGCGGTCGACCGTGGCAATCGACAGAAACATAAAATCGACTACATGGTTTGATGGTCGACCGCAGAACCCATCGCGATCGACCGCAAAAAAGTCCAGAGACTTTTTCTGAGCTGTGCACGTTCGCGGTCGATCATGGCGTCATGTGCGGTCAATCACTGGAAGTCCAAAGTGTTTTCCTATAATTTTCCTGTACTCTTCGACGTTGCCGCCTTCAACGACTTCGTCCACGTCTCTATTCTCAAGATACTATGAGAATCATCTATCCTCAAGCTCACATGAGGATCGCTAAGCTCCCAAAGTAAGGAAGAAGATACACCCGTATCATGGCTCCCCCCTTTAAGAACTTGTCCTGTTCAAGTTAGAACTATAGAGTAGGGAACTCGTGAGCCCCTCCTTTCCTGAACCACTTAGCCTTGTGAGGACTCTAGTCTCGACGTCCGATCAAAAACAACTCCTTCATCTCACGTCTCATCGTAGTCACATTCCGCTCCAAATTGCAACCCTCTTTCAGTGGCTCCTCATAAGAACCAATGCATAGCACAATAAACTTCTTGCTTGCATTCACTAGCCTCTTCGCTCGGTTCACCGTCACCAAATTGGTCTCATTCGGAAGAGACGCCGAACAAAATATGAACTTTTCACCATCTTTGGTCAATGTGTACTTCTGAGCCCGCCACTCGTAGATCGCGTATCTAACCCACAAATAGGGATAGCCTAGTATAACCTAACAAACATCCAATGGAACTACGTCGCACATGACCTCGTCAATATATGACTCATGGAGCGTAAATCTGAAAGTGCATTGATCAACTACACTCAGTCCTATCTCTTTCTGAATCTACCCCAATGGATAGGGCTTTGGATGCTTGACTGTCTCCAGACCAGCTTCTAAATCAAGGCCTCGGATATCAAATTCTTCTTGCTGCCTGGATCAACTATGACATCAACTAAACTGGTCTTCACCTGTAACTTAAGAACAAAGAGCTGCTCTTTAGGGTCGTCATCCTCTTTCGTGATCTATTTCTCCGTCATAAGATTGAGACTATTGTTGGGTTTTGTCATCCTTGGGATTTCTTTCGGAACTTGAGCTATCATGTATGCCTTTTTCTCCTTATTCTTCTTCAACCCCCTTGGCTTAAGATGATGATACTTCTCCCAGCACCGATCAGCTACATACCCTGTCTTCTCACAATGACTACAAATCAGCCCTGCTTTTCCTGAATCACTCTTCTTCTTCTTCTTCTTAGATTGAGAACCACTAGACTCGCCTCCAGCTTGTTTTGCATCTCCCTTTGCCCCGTTGCTCCTTTTTTGCTTGCCTTCGATGGCAATAGCTTTCACACTCACCTCTGCAATAGATTTCACCGTGAATAACTTCATCTCCTTTCGGATGTAATCGCTCAATCCCTCCATATACTTCATAAACACATAATATTCCTTCATCGCAATGTTGAGGACCGTCGCCTACTGCTGGAACTCTGTGGTGTATTCTTGAACGGTTTGATTGACTCTTTGGTACAAGCTGTACCACTTGTACCAACGCTCCTCAAGGAATCCCACCGGGTAGAATTGTTTCCTTAGTAGCTCTTTGAACTTATTCCACGACACCGACTTCTTCTCCTGCTTGTAATAGGATTTTCACCATGTTAATGCATGTCCCGAAAGCTTCAAATTTGCGAATACAATCTTCTCTTTTGATGAATAGCCATAAAGAGTGAAATACATCTCCATACGCTCGATCCAATCGTCAAGCCTCTCGACGTATACACTCCCATCATAAATAAGAATCTCTACTCTGAAATCTATCTTTAGATTCTAGTAAGAACCCTTATCCCCTTGATGCGGAACAGCCTTGACAATCTCGGCCTCCTCTTCAGAATTAGATTCCTCGCCTTCCCCATCGGACTCTACAAGTCTCTTCTTGCCTTTCGAAGAAGATTCCTCCTTTTTTTCCTTTCCTTGGAAAAGATTGACGAGCTGTGTGAGAGTCGAACCCATTGCCTTCATTTGTTTCTCCAATGCATCTAGTCTTGCTGAACTAGCCCCTTCAGTCATCTTCTTCTTCCTTAATCTCTGAACTCCTTCCAAAGAAATAAGGATCTCGCCTAGCTTCTTGTATTGTGATCGAGTAAGAACCATACACAGGACCCCCCTTTCACAGGATCTAATCGCTTTGATACCAACCTGATACGAGTCGCCGGACGAGCACTCTTGATCGTGGAATTATCAAGAGTGGGTTGTGAAGAAGACAAAAGAAAACACACAAGAATTGAGTTGGTCGAAGAAAAATACCTTCTCTAGATTATGAGAAATAATAGATTATATATCTCTCTCTCACAATCTCTCTAGATCAAAGAACAATCTCCCTGATCTCCTTTCTGAATACATTCTGCTTAGCAAACCTTAGAAAAGTCATGTTTTAACATATATCAAAACACAAACCAAAAGCGAACAAGAAACTGAAAACCAGGCCTAACCCGACTCACGGTCGACCACAGAACCGATAGCGGTCGACCGTGGTAATCGACAGAAACATAAAATCGACTACATGGTTTGGCGGTCGACCACAGAACCCATCGCGGTCGATTGCGAAAAGTCCACAGACTTTTCCTGACCTGTGCACGTTCGCGGTCAACCGCGACGTCACGTGCGGTCAACCGTTGGAAGTCCAAAGTATTTTCTTGTAGTTTTCTTGTACTTTTCGATGTTGCCGCCTTCAACGACTTCGTCCACGTCTCTATTCTCAAGATATCATGAGAATCATCTATCCTCAAGCTCTCATGAGGATCACCAAACTCCCGAAGCAAGGAAGAAGATACACCCGTATCACCAAACATAAAAAGATTGATCTAATTTGACTACTTGTATTTTTTAATGGCAAATAACGGTGAGTACTCAAAAGCGATATTAATGTGATTTAAGTTTTTTGACTAATGTACAATCTATTTGTTGGTTTCTCATGGACGATGTTATCAATGCATTTTAGGATTCCTGTTATGCATGTACAACACGTAGCACCATCACTTATCTAAGAATTATTCCTTCCTTAAGCATTGAGTAATTCATAAATAAATTTTTAACCTATGTGTCTTATATGACAATCGGTAATCTTATTACGAGCTAATCTACCTCCAAAGGTTTGAGCGTACAATAAAATCATTAGAAATCTCGACCGTTGATGATAAGCCCATTGGTCAAGACTCGGCGCACCAAAGAAGTGACTTTCGGATAGTATAGTTTTATCTCCTCATCAATTAATGTGTTCCAATATTTGATTAGCACACAATTGTGATTAGTATCTAGTCTAGTCTAGGAAGTATTTCGTAAAGGAAAGCATTTTTTACCATGCATTTATTTATTTATTTTACCGATCACCCTCTTGTTAGGAGCTAATTAGTTATTCAGAAAGGTTGAAGCACTCAGTAAAAACATCAAAAGATCTCGGCCGTTGATGATAAATCTAAAGGCTCCGATCCGACACATCTCCGGAACCGGCGTTTTAACCGTCCTCCGTGATCTCCACGTCAATATATTTCCCAAAATAGCCCCAAAGTTTCCCCACGCTGCCGTTCCATGTTTTTTCTCTCTCCCGTAAACACCAACTCTATAAAACTCTTCTCTTCATAAATTTCTCTCTCTCATCACTTCCTTTTCTCTCTCTGCCCGTCGCCGTTGTTGATGATTGATCGCCGTTCCCCAAATCAACGTCATTGGGGTTGAAGGAGCCCTAATCCCTTCCAACCTTCGAAGGTGACGGATTTCTATCAAAAACATCGATTATGTGGATTTCTAGGGTTTTCAGTGGATGTTCTTGATATTAATTTCGTTATTTTTTATTTTTATCTTTGAAGGGCGGGTAGAAGAGGCGAGGATTTTAGGGTTTGGTATTTATGTCCAGTAATCAAGCTAGGTTTGTAAAGAGCGACGGCCAGCTGAGGAAAACCGGCGGTCGATCCGGCAATAACAGAGGGTTTTCCGGTGGTGGCCGTGGAGGGAAGGGCGGAGGTGGGCCGCTTCTTTCCACGAAGTCTCATCTTCTCCGAATCAACCGCCATTGTCGAGCAACCGAAGGTGATGAGTTTTCCGTTTATTTTCTTGGATGGAGTAAGAAATTATTTTCTAATTCAGGCAACTGGGCAGAGGAAAGGTTGGGTCTGTTTGAGTTTTTAATGAGCATGGTTGGTGATTCCAGATTTAGTCACCTGGGTGTTAGGGTCCATTAGTCCCACATTGATTAAATGGGGTCAGTCGTGTGTTTTAAAGATATATTTCTGTTCCCTACCTCTAACAGCTAGCTGAACTAGCTTTCACAGGCAACTTCTCCTGCAAGAAGTAGTGGGAAGTTGCGATTTAGAATCTTACATTCTGACATGCCGCTGTACATTGAGTGTGCTTTGAATGGGCCGAAGCGTGGACTAACACACCTTTTTCTCTTTTTTCTTTTTCCTTTTGAAATCCTCTTTCAATGCATGGTCGATTGGATTTGAATTTAGCTTGCTCTGGGTCCATATTACCCCGCTGCACCAATGCTCCGAAGGTGTGGAAGTTTTGGCGAGGCTTGAGGGTTATAGTTTTACATTCTAGGATCCACAAAACATGGTAGCGGATGAAGGAAATTTTGATTTTTAGGACTGGAAATGGACCGAATACAAATCAAATACTTAGATATTTATATTTGTATTTGTTTAATTTAATTTAAAATCTTCGGAGTTGGATCAAAATTCAAGTACCATTTGCTGATTCTTTTCAAATTTGGGCATTTAATTTTTTTTGAATACTATAATTATTTATCAAATATTAAATTTTATTCATCAGATTAATAATTTATTCTTTATGAATATTAAATTAATTAATTTTAAAAGATAATTTTTAGTTGGCTGAAAGAAAGGCTTCCATTTTTCTTAAGATTTTGGATCATTTAAATTCGTAATTGAGAATTATTCTTTATATATTTAATTATGATATATAAATCTATAACTTGAGCACTTAGTTAAAACACCAATTTGGAATTCCTTAAGTTTCTCAAAATTAGTAAGAACTTAAGTAAAAATTGTAAGTTAGTCAAAAATATAATATGGTATATAATATTATACATGCAATAACACAAGTTAAAATAGATAAAAATTTAAACGAATATTTGATAAACAAAGGAATTTACATCTAGTTAAATTCTATTGGTTTGGGAATCGAATAATAATTATTTATTTACTGGTAAATGAAATACCGAATCATATATAACTGAATAGTTAGACGAGCAATTGACAAACTGTTTGTTAATTATTTGGTTCTTTTCCATCCTTGCCTTTTCTAATTTGAAGAAGTTTATGCAAGGAGCAAGTGGTAGTATCTAAGAGCTTCTTGTTTCGGCTTTGTGGTTTTGAAGAGTAATGGGCTTTTGAAATTAGATATGTATTTTATAGTTTGAGATTTTTTTGGTCCATTATCCATTATATGTTTCGAAAAACTTTGTCATGTACAATGAGAGCAATCTGGGGCAGATAGTTATATATAGTTTACCTCATGGTTGTACTATGAATAATTAGTACTCAGTTTGGAGAACTCTGGTTATCTGAAAGTTTTATCTTTGTTTGCTTTTTTATGGTTTCTCTAGTTTCAAGAAGTCTAGCAATGGACAAGGAGCCCAGTCAAGGATAAATCCTGCAAGTTCGAGTTCTGAAGCATCTGTTGCCACTGCTGCTCCTAGAACTGTTCAGAATGGTGCTCATGGTCAACCCCCATCACTGGGTAAGTCAGGCTCAGGCTCACGTTTTAGCTTTTTCTATTAATATGTGTACTCATTCAGTGGCTTATAGATTTAATCTTTCAGTAAGTTCAAAAATTGCTGAATTGAGAGGTTACTAACTCAGATTCTTTTCAAATATTGTGATAAAATTCCCTTGGTATTCGTAGGATTTTGATTATTTTTTTGTATTATACTCATTTTGAACTCTCTTTTTTGAAATTTGGTATCTTTTTTTTTGAATTTTATCAACTTCAGGAAACAGCTTACAGTTGTTTGCATGTAGTTATGAGTGTTTAAGGGAATCTAGTTTCTCTGGATTTATTTTTTTGAACTGTGGCTGTTGTCCTGGTCACTCCCCAATTCTCAGACCTCAAAGGGACAAGGAAGACGGATTAACCTGCTTGCAAAATATTCTGAGATATATATATATATATATATGTGTGTGTGTGTGTGTTTGTGTGTGTGTGTGTGTGTTTTTTTAAATAAGAAAAAAACCATCAAATCTATTTCATCATCAAATTCATTACAATTATCCTCAATAATTAAAAAGTTAAAAATTACTGCAACCAAAATGAGATAGATAAATATTCCTCAGATTGAAATAAAAGTCAACCTAAAAGAGAAACTTATTATTACAAAATCTTCCTAGTGTTGTGTGTGTGTGTGTGTTTAAATAAGAAAAAAACCATCAAATCTATTTCATCATCAAATTCATTACAATTATCCTCAATAATTAAAAAGTTAAAAATTACTGCAACCAAAATGAGATAGATAAATATTCCTCAGATTGAAATAAAAGTCAACCTAAAAGAGAAACTTATTATTACAAAATCTTCCAAGTGTTCAACTAATATCTAAACTTTATTTGGCTTTTACCTACAAATGATAATATGCAATTAACCAAAGATTAGCTAGCTTATCTCTTTCTCCCCTCCTTCCCCTCCCCTCCCCTCCCCTTACCACCCTCCTCGCCCCTCGCCCCCTCCCTCTCAGGCTTATTGAGGCGCGCGCCTCGGGCGCTTCGGCCTGGGGGAAATGCGCCCCGCACCGAGGCGGGGCGCTGCACGCAGTGAGGCGCGCGCCTCGCGTGCGCCTCGCGCGCGCCTCACGTGTGCCTCACACCTGCGTTATGTAACATACTCTTTCTTCTATTTTTTAAATAATTTACATAATTACATATTTATATCATGTAATATACTCTTTCTTACTAGTTGCTAATCTATTTTCATCTTTCCATGTTTAACCTATAAAAAGGAAACAATAATTAGTAATTTAGTATACTTGTTTGCTAATTATAACTTCATTCTCTAATTAGCATGCTAACTAGCAAATTATAAACATGTAAATATGTAATTGTTACATTCATTCTTCATCTTTTCATGCTAAGTAGCAAATATCAATTAAGAATACTAACTAGAAAATTATGAACAGTCATGTTTGTTAATTATATTTTTTAGTCTTTTATGTGACAATTTATGAACATATGCTCATAATTGTTAATCACTTAATTTGATGATTTAAATAGATGTTTCTTGTATCTTTTTTATTACTTTAAAATTCCAGTTAGCATAATTTGATGATTTAAGTTGATATTCTCATAATTTTGGATGTAGGTAACTAATATGTTGCTTATATGTTTCTGTCTTATGATGTTGGCAAATATTAGTTTGAGTTATGCGCCTCAATTAGTGAGGCGTGCGCCTCGTTGTGCGCTTTGCGCATGGTGCGCGTAAGGGACCTTTGCGCCCCGCATTGCGCTTTGCGCCTCGATAACACTAGTCCCTCTCCCTCATAAATTTGATTAGGGTCAGTTATCTAGGTAAGAGAAATTTTATTAGGGTCAGTTATCTAGGTGCATTTTTGCCTCATGTTTTAAATTCATTGGCTGCTTTCAAAATGCTTAGAAATGGAATGCTGGTTTTGTCTATCTTCTTTTAAGTTTTTGTTAATTTGTTATGCTCTCTAGGTCAGTCATACCCAAAAAAAAAGGGTTCAAGTTTATTCTTTAGATGCTTTGTTTTGTTCCTTTTTTTAATTGCTACCTTTTTATTTCGGTCTTGTTGGTTCTTATGGGGCCATTTGTTGTAGCATTGCCAAGTGGTCCAAGGCCAGATACACCGATCTCCACGACATCTCGGCCCCTTCCAAAAGCTCCATCTTCACAATCTTCTATTGGGATTTCAGATTCTACAATGCTGATCACACCCGTCAAAGGTACCTTCAGTACCACTATTTTTTAATATTGGTGAATGAATAGAAGGCCATTCTTTGGCTTGTGTTTACTTCCTGTAATTTTGACTGCACAGGGTGCTGCAGTGTGCGCAGCTACTACTTTCTTTTGAAACGCACTTGAATGGTTTGCATAACACACACACATATAATTATATGTATGTATGTATGTACGTACGTATGTATGTATGTGTGTGTGTGTGCGCGCGCGTGCATGGGCGCGTGGGTGCGTAGGTGTGTGGGTGTGTATGTCTGTATGTGTGTATGTACGCATGTGATCTTCACCCTTTTGAGGGAGGATGATATGCGGAAATTAGGAATAATAAAATAGTTGGGGTTATGTATTTTGATGCTCATTTGAGGTTTTATGTATGTGATCTTCACCCTTTTGAGGGAGGATGATATGCGGAAATTAGAAATAATAAAATAGTTGGGGTTGTGTATTTTGATGCTCATTTGAGGTTTTCTGACTGGAAGGGCCAACATCGAGATCGATGATATGTGGAAATTAGAAATAGAGAGCCAGCCGAGCTCTTCTCTTAAGCCTTCCATTGGGTTGATGAAAGAAGGAAAGCTTCTTCATTCAAACTGTACATACATATATACATACATGTACATATACATGTAAACATATATATACACATATAGATATATACACACACACATATATACACATACATACATATACATAGATGCATATATGTGTGTGTATATATATATTTATATATCTGATATATATATATATATATATATATATATATATTATATATATATTATAATATATATATATATATATATATATATATAGAGAGAGAGAGAGAGAGAGAGAGAGAGAGAAGAGAGAGGAGAGAGAGAGGAGAGGAGAGAAATATGGGTATGCTTGGTACCAGAGCACAAAAAATTGTGCTTGGTAGTAGGTGTCAAATTCTCCTCACTCATTCAAATGTGGGAACATTCACATGGGTATTAAGTGGATGGGGATGTGACACATCACTACCAGGCATACCCACATTTCTCATATATATATATATATATATATATATATATATATATATATATATATATATATATATATATATGTGTGTGTGTGTGTGTGTGTGTGTAGTTGAGATTATACAAACATGTCATGTTTTGTATAATCTCAACTACACACACATACATACCCATGCATACATACATGCGTATATATGTATATATGTGCATGTATACATATATACGTATATATGTATATATAAGTATGCATATATATGTATATATGTATATATTTGTATAGGGAGAGGTTCTAATAAAAACCTCCTTAGCCTAAAAACTAAAAACCAATATCATCCAATGGCTAGGATTCGGTCAAACAGTCAACAGACACATGCATTAATTACCTCATTAAACACATGCATTAATTACCTCAACGCAGTGAATCCAGATTCACTATAGGGATTCCAGATTCATGACCTCAATGAACACGTCCTTCACTGCAGTGAATCCAGATTCACTCTGCACTGAATCCAGATTCATTACCTCAACGAACACGTTTTTCACTGCAAGTGAATCCAGATTCACTGCAGTGAATCCAGATTTGTGTTCGTTGAGGTAATTAATGCATGTAATTAATATATGTGTCTGTTGACTGTTTGACTGACTCCCAGCCATTGGATTCACCTAGATCCAATGGATGATATTGGTTTTTAGTTTTTAGGCTAAGGAGGTTTTTATTAGAACCTCTCCCTATGTGTATATACATATATATGTATATATGTGTGTGTAGTTGAGATTATATGTATATGTGTATATATGTATACACATACACATATATGTATTTATGTATACATGTACATATATACATATATATATGTATGTGTGTGTGTACGTATGCGTGTGTAGTTGAGATTATACAAAAATGTTTTTCTTTAATGTTAACGTTATTTTTTGTTATTGTGCGATTTTCATTTCATCAGGAGAAGAGACAAAGCCATTCGCTCTCCAATTTGGGACTATAAGTCCTGGTATTGTGAATGGGTTGCAGGTAACTGTCAGTTATTTGATACTTTGTGGAAATGGACCATATATATTGATCCTTTTCATGTTCTATTTGGGATGACTGCAAAAATTATTTTAACTATGTAGATTCCTGCCAGGACCAGCTCAGCACCACCTAACCTTGACGAGCAGCTGCGAGACCAGGTACGCTGATAACTGTTCTTGTTGTTTTTAATGCTTCATCACTTAAATGCTTTCCAATATCAACCAAAAAGCCACCACTATTATAACTGTCAACACTTTATAGTGTTCTCTTATTCATGAAATGTTTAAGGCATTCACTCTATCATGCAGGCTCATCATGATTCATTCAGGGCTGTCCCCACACAGCCTATACCTCCTGGTCCTAAGCAGAAGTCAGAACCGGCAAGGAAGGATGTAGTTGGCATTGAACAATCTACTAGTGAGTTGCACCCTCCTGTGCAGGTAAAGAGAGAGGTGCACCAACAAATTCCAACTGCATCAGTTGCACCGCAGCGAAAGTCTGCTTTGGTATCTATGCCTGATATATCTATGGCCATGCCATTTCAGCAACCACCAATCTCTATGCAATTCGGTACCCCTGTTCTGCAACAAATGCCTATGACTTTGCCCATAGGAAATGCCTCCCAAGTTCCACAACAGATGTTTGCTCATAATCTCCAGTCTCATCCTATGCAGCATCAGGCAATGATTCACCAGGGACAAGGCTTGGGTTTTGGACCTCAACATGGTCTCCAGCTTGGTCCACAGTTTGGGAACCTTGGGATTGCTATTACTGCCCCACAATTTTCTCAGCAGCAGCAGCAGCCTGCAAATTTTGGCGGCCCTCGTAAAACTACCGTAAAAATTACTCATCCAGAGACCCATGAGGAGTTGAGGCTTGATAAGAGGACGAATTCTCATGTGAATGGTAGCTCATCAGGGCAAAGGCTACCTCGTAATGCAGGGCCACAATCTCATACTATTACATCATTCACTTCCTCACATTATTTTCCTCAGATGCAACCAAATTCATATAATCCTTCACCAATCTACTTTCCTACTAGCACATCATTGACTACAGGTTCACAACCGCCAAGGATTAGCTACCCAGCTGGACAGAGTGGCCAAGCCATTTCATTTATGAACCCATCACTCCTGAATCCCATGCCGGGTAGCAAATCTCTGCCTCCTTTTCATAGTCCCTCTGAAATGATAAAGTCAGAACCTCCTCTAGTTACAGCTCCACCAGCTCTGCCTCAGGGGTCAGTGAAGCCAACTGCTGCTCCAGTTGGTCCAAAAGTTGGGGGACCTTCCGTGACTATTAGCATGCCTAATAACAAGGCTGAGGAGACTAGATTCTTAAAGCCAGCCGGGGAAGCCACTTTCATTGATCAGTGTCAGCAAAGGAATAATGCAAGCTTAACAGAAAGTTCTCCGCAGCAGTCTGAGACGCTTACTCAGTTATCAGACATCACTCGAGGTGGACGTTCAGTTGCAGCGGCTTCAGTTGTTTCAACAAAAATAACATATCCTGGAACTTCATCAGCTCCAGCCATTCCTTCAGTGAATTCTGGATCTGCCTTATTAGCGATTGATAGCAAAAAAATTGAACCTATTGGAAGATCAGATTCCTTGAAGGATAACCAGAAAAAATCAAGCATAAAAGATCTGAAGCCATCTCAGCAACAAGGACAAGTATGACTTCTCAAGCTTCTAACTACTGTCCTTCTCATTTTGAAATCTTGTACTATGTTTCTAGTTGTTGTTTTCTAACTCGTTCATTATTCAATTCATGCAGACAGATGAATCAGCTACAAACTTGTCTTCTTTAAAAATTTACAAGGATAGCAGCTCGGAACCTGTGAGCAGTACACAATTAGTTGAAGGTACTCAAAAAATTCGTGAATCTTCTGGGGAGAATACATCAACTGCTACAACTGACTTGCCTTCTTCTTGTCCAGAACATAGTGCTAGAACTGAAGCCAGAAGCAGTAAGTCAATCAAAAGTAAATTTATACCTGCTGATTCAGGTTCGACTGGAGCTGTTAAGGCTGAGGACGCACCAGAACATTTTCCAAAGAGCTGTACTGTGAGAGGTCCGAAGGTGTCATCTAGCGCTGACTTTGAGCTGGATGAAAACATATCTGAAAATATAGATTCTGCTTCACAGAAAACTGATAATGTTACTCTCGAAGTTGAATGCAGAAAAAAGATGTCAGAAGAGTCGGAACATGGAAAAGCTTTTGAGGTTTCTACAGATAATAGTAACGCTAAAGTTGATCCAGTTCCTACCATCACAAGGTCTTCTGAAGATGGAAAGCCAGATGTGTTGGTTAAAGAGGAAGAGAGTAGAACAGCTGCTCAAAGGACATTGAATATGGTAGAAAGAACAGCTCCTACATCTTTGGAGCATAAATATGCTGCTAACAATGAGAAAGACGCGCCTTCTTTTCCACACACTGTTAAAGATGAAATGAAAATAACATGCGTTGAAGATGTTGGCTCATTTGAAGCCCCAATATCTGAGAGGACAACAATTTCAGAAGCGTCTATTGTGGAGATTCCTGAAGATGTGCGAACTTCCTCTGTGGCATCTGGCCTCAAGGACAAAATCCCTTCAGAGTCCGCTAAGGTTAAGCCTATTACTGGAAAAAAGAAGAAAAGAAGAGAGATATTCTCAAAAGCTGATGCTGCAGGACGTTCTGACCTGTACAACGCATACAAGGGTCCAGAGGAAAAGCCTCAACTTGCATATACCTCAGAAAGTGTAGATAGTTCTTCAATAGTTGATAGGGAAAAACAAGAAGCAGATAATCATGATAAAGATGAAGTTAAAATTGAGGAAGATGGACAAAGAAAAGCTGAAGTTGATGACTGGGAAGATGCAGCGGATATCTCAACCCCCAAGCTGGAGAATGGAAAGCAGGTTAATGAAACAAACAAGCATAGTGATAACGATGAATGTGAAGCCACCAGCACAAAGAAGTACACTAGAGATTTCCTTTTAACATTCTTAGAGCACTGCACTGATCTTCCTGTTAGTTTTGAGATCGGATCTGATATAGCTGATGTGCTGATGAGTGCTTCACTTAGTAATTTACATGTTGTTGACCGGGGTGCCTATCCTAGTCCTGGAAGGATAACGGAGAGATCTCAGGGAGTTTCCAGGAATGATGACAGATGGTCCAAGGCACCTGGCCCTTTTCCTCTACGCTCAGATGGTCATAATATTTGTCCTGTTCCAGGTGTCACTCATGGGGTTTTAAGAAATCCACGTGGACAAGCGTCAAATCAGTTTCCAATTTTCCCTGGTCCTATGCAATCAGTTACACCTCAGGGAGGATCATTGCGTTATAACTCTGATTCAGACCAATGGCGTTCCCAAAACAGTTCACGAGGTTTAATGCCTTCTCCTCAAACACCTTTGCAGGTTATGCACAAGGCTGAGAGAAAATATGAAATAGGTAAAGTGTCAGACGAGGAACAGGCGAAGCAAAGACAGCTGAAAGGCATTCTAAACAAGTTAACACCTCAGAATTTTGAGAAACTCTTTCTGCAAGTTAAAGAGGTTAACATCGACAATACTGTCACCCTCTCTGGTGTAATATCACAGATTTTTGATAAAGCACTGATGGAGCCAACTTTCTGTGAAATGTATGCGAATTTCTGTTTCCATCTTTCTGGTGCATTACCGGATTTCACTGAGAACGATGAAAAAATTACCTTTAGAAGGCTACTCCTTAATAAGTGCCAGGAGGAATTTGAAAGAGGGGAAAGAGAGCAGGCTGAAGCTGACAGAGTTGAAGAGGAAGGTGAGATTAAACAGTCTCAGCAAGAGAGAGAGGAAAAAAGGATCAAGGCACGTAGGCGTATGCTTGGAAACATCCGCTTGATTGGAGAATTGTACAAAAAGAAGATGCTAACAGAGAGGATAATGCATGAGTGCATCCAGAAGTTGCTCCGGCAGCATGAGAAACTTGATGTAGAAGACCTTGAATCCCTGTGCAAGTTGATGACTACAATAGGAGATCAGATAGATCATGCCAAGGCTAAGGAACACATGGATGCATATTTTGAAGCAATGATAAAGTTATCAACTAATCAGGAATTACCTTCACGGGTCAGGTTCATGCTGAGAGATGTAATTGATTTGAGGAAAAACAGATGGCAACAAAGGAGAAAGGTTGAAGGGCCCAAGAAGATTGAAGAGGTACATAGGGATGCAGCTCAAGAACGGCAATCTCAAACTAGCAGATTGACTCGTGGTCCTAGCATGAATTCTTCTTCAAGAAGAGGACCACCTATTGATTATGGTCCACGAGCATCCTCCATATTACCTTCCCCAGGCTCCCAAACTGGTGGCCTCCGTGGATTACCCTCTCAAGCCCGTGGCTATGGCATGCAGGATGTACGGTCAGAGGACCGCCATCCTCTTGAGAACAGGACATTGTTGCTTCCCTTGACTCAAAGACCTGATGATAGTTCTATTACCCTTGGTCCACAAGGTGGTCTTGCAAGGGGGATGTCTTTTAGGGGACAAACATCAATGTCAAGTTCTCTGGGAGAGACTCTTCTTTCCGTTGGAGATAACCGGAGAATGACATCAGGTTCAAATGTCTATAATACACCAGACAGGGTACCTTACAGCTCAAGGGAAGATGCAGCATTGAGAACACTGGATAGGTCATGTGCACCACCTAATACACCTGCTGGGCGAACACATGAATCCCTAGGTTGTACTCTGATAGCAGCTTCTGATTCAAAACCATTGAACGAAGAGGCTTTACGGGAAAAGTCAATATCAGCAATAAGGGAGTTCTACAGGTACATGTCTCTTGTTCATTACTTGTTTGTTTGAATATTTATTACCTTCTGTTTACTATATATTACAAATACAAGCTTTGTCCCTTTCAATTTGTTTGGTTGAGGAGGTAAGCTGTACTTTATCTCATCCGATTTTTCTAAGATTTACCTCATCATCATTGTTGTAGTTTATCCATATTCTCATATTTATAATCATGTTAAATCATGCTTACTGTGCACTTATCTAAAATTGAAACTAATGTTTGTGTCACCATGTTGAAGTAGTGGAATGAACATTTTGGTAACTAAGTTATTACAGGTCCTAAGCCTCTTTCCTACGAAAATAATCTCCGCCAATATCAAAGTTGAGAAAGGTGAAAGAGCTGAACTTTCTAATTGTTGATGTCAAATTGATGTTGATATTCTATGCAGTGTTTTAAAGTTCTTAGCCAAAATGACGATGTAGTTTCAGTAAAACCTTGGCTGCCTAATCGTAAAGGATCTTATTTTTTTGGGTCTTGAGATCTAAGTTTGTGAAAACAGGACAAAATATAAATTCCCCTAGATTAAGAGTATTGAAGAAAGCTAAAGATGACAATGTGTAGATAATCAAATTTATCTCTTAGGCAGAGAACAAACCAGATATACCCAATTGAATCTTACTCCTAATATAATTTATATGCAAGTTATCAGCATCTGCTTGTAGTACACCCTGGGCCGTGTAATTGTGCATCATGGGGGTGACCATTGAACCTACTGAGATATTGTCAGGATCGTTTATGGTCTAGTACAAGTAAGATTATCCATCTCATATGGAATCTTCAGGGTGAAGAGATTGTATGAAGTTAGTACATAGTTCTCCATTTATTAGTTGCATAAAGATGACAAGACTGTAATCTTCATCTCAATATTTTTTGGTACCATTTTCTACTAGGATTTCTATGGAACTTGTAAATTTTCTCCCTATTTTCTGTTACATGCCGGCTGTTCTTTAAGGGAGTTGTTTTTTTGGCTTACCTTTCTGATGCCTCTCTTGGTTTTCTTCTCATCATTGTGGCATTATAGAGAGGAGCTTAGTTGGTTCAGATCATTGCTGAATATCCTTCTATATTCCTCTCATCTTATACTGTTCCACTTATACTGGCAAAATTTTCTGGTCCGACCATGCCTATGCTTGTTAAGCCTCTTTTTACTATGGAAATCAAACGGACATGAAACCTGCTGTTGCTTCTCAAAGTGGATATTCTTAGTGAACATCTGAGGCGTCCCAGTAGGCACCGATTTAGTTGGAATAAGCTTCCCCCAAATGAATCTTGGTGTCTAAATTACGAAAAACTACAAGTGTGTGTGGGTCTTTTCCCTCTTTTTTTTTCTTCTTTTTTTCTGGGAAGGGAAGTGACCCCTGTACGGGTCTATTTTAGGTCTACGTGGGGTTAAATTTTCTCTAAAAAAATATTTCTTAAAAAAGCTATCTTTTGAAGAAATATTCTTTCTTGGAAAACTAATTTGAAAAAATATATGAAAAAATAAATTGAAAAGTAATATTTTTTTAAAAATAAAAGTTTTCTTGAGGACAATTATAATTTTTTAAATATTTATTTTAAAAAAATTTCAATAGTATGTTTTCAAAATACTTTATTTCAAAAAAATTATGAAAAAGTTATTTTTAATGAAATTCTTTTACAAAATATATTTTTACCAAGAAAGTTATTTTACAAAAATATATTATTTTTAAAAATAATTATTTTAATAAAATATTATTTACGATTTTTTTTAAAAATGTAAGTCAATTTACTTAATAATAAGAACCATTATTTTTTTTAAAATAAATATTTTAAAATTGTGAAAAGAATAATAACTTTATTAATTTTTTAATGGTGAAAGAGTAAATTGCATATGTAAAGTTACAAGTAAAATGAAACAGTTTAACTACAAGTTGAAAATTTTAAATTGTGAACTAAACAATTGCAACTATAGTTGCATGTAAGAAGAGTTGCAATGTCTCAATTGCATACAAATAGCACTTGCATTGCAACTATAGTTGCAAGCAACCAAATGCCCCCAAAAGATATTTGTAATAACCGGCACTGCTCTCTGATGATATAGTTTCAAGCTACCTTGATGATTCGCTTCACCTATGAGTCTCCCATATCTAGATTCATTCTACAAAGGCTACAGTCTTTATCTAATTTTGATTCACCACCATTTCATTAAATCTTTGTCAATGTCTTGATTGTTTTTGCAGTGGATATGCTCATGCTACACATTACCATCTCATTGAACCTAATGCCTCTTGCAGCAATAAAAACATAGGGATCATTTGTTAGTAAAGGTTTTAAATGTCGGCCGACATGTTGGTTTGAGGGCTTAAGCGACATGACATGGGTGTTTTTAACTCATATGTCGGTTTTCAGGACCAAATCGGAAATATCGGGCATATTGGCCGATTTTTCAGCTTTGAAAAATCGGCTGATATGACTTTTTTTTAGATCTGTTTTTGTTATCTGGTTTGGGTGTAGTGATAAAAACCCAAACATATTTGATCCGTTCTCATGTTTAAGGGTTTCTTATGAACCCGATAGAAAGAAAAGAGAAAAATTAGGGTTACAGCGGACTTGGAAACCCATCACTCCTTTCGTGAATGACGACGCCCTTCCTCCACCTCTATCTCGGCCCCCCGTCGTCCATCTCCCGTTGCGCCCCGAAATCCGAACCCCAACCGAACCTGAAGATGACATGGTATCCCGTCATCGGGATAAAAGAAAGAGGGTGGTCGGTGGCTCATCCGAAGGATCCCGAGTAGACGAAGAAGAAGAAGAGCCCCGATACTGCCTCTCTGAGATGTCGGAATCCACCCATCGCCGACGTCGCCTCTAGAATTTATAAAGTATGCTTATATTGAATTTAGGAATGCTTAGATTTAGGACATGATATTATACATATGCGTACCACCCGATATGACAATCTGACATTTAGTCCATGTCTCCCGATATATCCCCGATTTCTTCTATCTGACATGGATTTCAGCCATCCGACATGAACCCGACATGAACCCGAATCCAATATTTAAAACCATGTTAGTTTATTCACTAATTTATGTATTGCAAACTAGCATGCACGTCTCTATTCCTGGTGTTGAACTGTGAGGAATAAAAGAACTAATGATTATTTGACCATTTGACCTCTTTTGATGTATTTAGCAGTAGTATTGAGGCTTTACGTAGTACAGTTGTTTTTTCTGAGACTTGTCCTATAGCTTTGAAGTTTGGCGTCTGAAATCTAATTGCTTGTCTGCACTTAAATTATGATCATTTTAAAACTAGAGTTTAGTTTTATTTTTGAAGTGCAGTTACATCATGAATTATAGTAGCTGCTTTTCTATTAGAGTGCATTAATACAATTGATACTTGCATTTTTATCAACTGTAGAAACATTCATGTTTTTTTGGATGTAACTTTTTATTTAATCAAAGGTAAATTTATGAGCTAATGAAATCTCACTGGAAGATTGAAAGGTACATTTAAGGCATATTATTATATTTTGAAACACTGCCTTCCAATGTCTAATGGAAACTAATTATGTCAATAATTGGGTCGAATAGACTTTTTCACCCTTTACTTCCCATACAGTTTCAAACTATAGGAGTAATAATTGTAAATCATTTCTAATTGATTAAAATACTAACAAGTAACAAAGCTATTTTGGTAAGAAGTGTGGTATGCTAAGGTATCTATGATAGGCTTTAACCTTTTTTTCTTTCTATGCTTCTTATCCTAAATCTAGTACATCTGCAAATCAGAAGTTCTAAACCTTGAGATTTTGAAGATTGAAATGAAAACTCAAATTTGACAAAAGTTTAAATATTTAAAATTGAACTAAAATCCTAAAATGTGTTAATTAATCAATCAAATAAAAATAGTTATTGGCTAATCATATTCCCTATTTACTAAAATGCTATTTCATTTAAGAGTTAGATTTATCATTAGGCATAGGTATGGAATAATTAGAATTATTGTTTTAATTTTATATTATATGTACGAATAAGGATTGCAGTGGGCTTTGATTTTGATTAAGGAAGACAAAAGTTGTTTGATACTTTTATTTCTATTTATTTTTTAAATTTAGTGATTTACATCATTTCTTTTTCTAGGATATAGAATATCTGTAAAATCATGGATATTTTTGTCATGAAAATGACTAGCTAGAACATGACAATTTTAAACTGTAGGAGGTCAAAATGCTAACCCAATAAACATTGGGAGGAAAAACTGTTTAGAGAAACTATAGATGGATATGTGCTCGAACGATAAACTTTGGACTTTGGGAGGGTTAAATACAATTTACCCATTGTCAATGGATAAATCTGTGTAAATACTAGGCGTGGGCTATATAAATTGAATTGATTAGCATATTAATAATAATTAATAAATATTCAAGTTCTATTATTTGACATTTGTTTCATTATCATTTTTAAATGGTTGGACAAGTGCAAGGAAATAACCTTTGGGGAAGAAAAAAGGTTAATAGGCAAACATTGAGGGATTGGGGATAAATATCATCCATTGTCTGTGGTAAATAAGCATAAACTAGGTAAGCTAAACTGATTAGCATATTACTAATGATGATTAATAGACATTTAAGTTAATATATAAAATTGATATTATTTCCATGACCCAATGGCAGGTAATCCTTTTGTTGTCATATAAGTTAGATGCTAAAATCGAGCAGATAAATTGAGCTAGCATACTAGGGCACAAAATAATGTGTTCTATTCTTGGACAATTATAATGAGATGAAAGTTTCCTCGCCTTTTGCATAGCTTCCTTCTTTCGACGAAACACAGCTTAGATCTATTTGTACCACCCAAATATACCATTCTGACATCTCTGTTTCGCAAGTTATTTTGCGTCTACCTTAAAAGTTATTATATAATTCTAGTGTTTGTACACAGTATTCATGCAGTATTTTTTTTTGCCCCGTTTCTGGCAATTGGCTCTCATAAAGAGCAAATATATCTTGGTTTGTAGTTGCACTGGTATGGAAGATGCTAAAGGCCTTTTGCTTCATGACACTTTCCTACATTGTCTTTTACTGATTAATTCTTAGAAATTTGTATAGTCTTTCCAAAATATAGTTCCGGAATTCAAGGCTTCAATATCAGAGCACTTTGTTGAAAATACTATGTTGCTTTTAGACAATTTGTTCACAAACATCTCCTTGTTTCCAGTGCCAAGGATGAGGAGGAGGTTGCTTTGTGCATTAAAGAGCTGAACTCTCCAAGCTTCTATCCTTCCATGGTTTCTCTCTGGGTAACAGATTCCTTCGAGAGAAAAGATATCGAGAGAGATCTGTTGGCTAAGCTTCTAGTTGATCTCTGCAAATCTCAAGATAGCTTGCTCAGTGAAAACCAGCTCAGTCAAGGGTAAAAACCTTTTAACTTATTCCCATTCAAACAGCGCTATCAATAAACTCTAAAATGCCTCTCCTTTTTGTTTTTTTTCGGTCTTCTAACAGGTTTGGATCTGTTCTCTCATCATTGGAGGACGCTGTGAATGATGCTCCAAGAGCAGCTGAATTCCTTGGGCGCATCTTCGTAAAGGTGATATTGGAGAATGTGGTGTCATTAAGAGATATAGGTAAATTGATTCATGAAGGTGGAGAGGAGCCCGGCCGTCTTCTAGAGATTGGGTTGGCGTCAGAGGTCCTTGGCAGCATATTGGAGAGCATAAAATTAGAGAAGGGTGAGTTCACTATGAAAGAGATCCTTGTGAACTCTAATCTTCGGTTAGAGGATTTTAGGCCGCCGCATTCAAAGTCTAAGAAGCTTGATGCATTTCTTTAGAGAAGAGGGGAATATCATGTTTCGTGTGTAGGTCTAGTGAAATTATACTCCTTTTGTTTTAGTTAGGATCTTTTTTATAGTAATTCTCGAAAATGCATTGATATTCTTTGGAAGACTAACTGAAGAAGGAAATAGAAACGAGAGGGGGTTTCTTAGGCATAGCGCAAATTTTTAATACATTTTTGCTAATAATTGAGATTATTCTTATGAGCACTGGTAGCTTGAGATCCTATAACCTGGCTCTGGGAAGCAAAGAGATTTATGAAAGCCATCGTAGTGGTGTTTGATGCAATAAAAACTTTCCTCCTGAGTCTTTCGGCAAAATTGTGTACGCTTCTGCGTACTGAGTTTTGGTGTTCTGTTGGAAGAGCTGCTTGATTATGGCAGAAGGTGTTTTTATTGGTATTAACGAAAATAGTAGATAGTTGGATTTGTATGGACAAAATGAACCGTGGTATATTAAATATTTTAATTTAATAATAATGAAAATGAATAACTATAGATTAACTATAGTATAATCATATTATATTTGCTTGAGAATTTTCTATTGGCATATTTAAAAAATCAAATTAAAATGCTAGAAGACCTCATAACTTGTTACATGAAACACGGGCTGGCGCGCATGTCACTTTAGTGTTCATTTGTTTTGGATCACAGTTCCTCTCCGTCCGTGCGGTCCAGCCAAGTGCAATGTTACGTGTTTTTTTGAATTGGTTATAACTTCCTTTATATTGTATGTTTCTGAATCATATTAAATATTTATATAATTATAAAAATCTTGTTCTTATATAACTAAAGAATTGATATTATTTTACTATTGCACTTCAAATGCAACTTTGTGTAAGGTTTATATCTAAAATGCGATAAAGTATACTGAAAAAAGGTTACATAATTACCAGTTACAAACATATATAACACAGTACTAAATTATAGATAGGATAAATATCACCACCAAATATAAGTTTACGTCCGTGAACACCGGGCGGGTGCATAAATTATTCTAGCTTTCATTTGTTTAGGGCCTGTTTGGTTTGAGTGGTTTTATAAAAAACTTTATAGAAAATGGATGATAGTGACAGTTTTGTAAATAAAATTTTTCTAGAGATTTCTATAAACCGTGTTTGGTTCAAAAATTTTTTTTAGAAAAGTTTTCTATAAAGTACATAAAAGTACCACATTTTATAGAAATTAATTTCCGCTCAAAATGTGCGGAAATCATCCAGAAATCTTTGTTATGGATGTAATAAGCCAGGACACATGAAGAATGATTGTCCTTTTCTAAAGTCAAAGTCAAAGCCTACAAACTTCAACAAGTTAAACGATAAGAAGAAGAAGGCTTTGGCAGTGACATGGGATGATAGTGATGCATCCTTTTCTGAAGAAGAAGAAGAACAAAAAGAGCAATTTGCTTACATGTGCTTCATGACACAAGAAAATAAAGTAAGTGATTTTTGATAATGAAGAGTTATTAGAAGCATTTAATGAACTATATGTTAGATTTAAGGATTTAAATTCTAATTATAAGATTTTGAAAAATGAAAATGAGAGATTAAGCTGAGAATTAGTTTCTTCAAAGTCCTCACAAGTTGAAAAATTGAAGGAACTAAATGATGAGTTATTTTCTAAAAATAAATTATTGACTAAAAATAATATTTATCTTAAATCTGAATGTGATATCATGAAAAATAGAATTTCTGATTTAGATAAAAATATGGTTACACTTAAACTCAAATATGAAGAGTTATTTCTAAATGTAAGCAAGTTTAATATAGGAAAAGAGAATTTGAATGATTTACTCTTATTTCAAAAATCTTCAAACAATCACTTTGGTATTGGATTTGTTCTTTCTTCAAAGTCCTCACAAGTTGAAAAATTGAAGGAACTAAATGATGAGTTATTTTCTAAAAATAAATTATTGACTAAAAATAATATTTATCTTAAATCTGAATGTGATATCATGAAAAATAGAATTTCTGATTTAGATAAAAATATGGTTACACTTAAACTCAAATATGAAGAGTTATTTCTAAATGTAAACAAGTTTAATATAGGAAAAGAGAATTTGAATGATTTACTCTTATTTCAAAAATCTTCAAACAATCACTTTGGTATTGGATTTGTTCGTAAGTCTTTTACAAAGAACGATTATGTTTTGAAGAATCATGTTTCTTATTCTAAGAAAAATCAATACTCTTTATTTTCTAGGAATAAGAATGTTCATCAATATAGATATGTTGATGCTCAATATCAAATAGAATAATCCAGAAGAGGATGGTTGCGGAGTGATGAAGGATAATGGAGGGCCCGCTCCCTTCTTCGGTTTTATGCCTGGTTCTTGAACAAGGGCTTGATGTCCACGCTGCACAGACAAGAAGAACCCGTGAGAGGGCAGTGATCGGTTCCCCCGTGGTTTCTCTGACGGTCAAGTTAGTAAAACTCGAGTGGGGAAGGGAAAGGTCAAAGACCGATGTGGTTCTTAAGGTGGTAATGTGCATGCCCAGAGTGGAGTAACAGAACTATGTGTTCTTGTTTTTTGTGTAGTACGTGCTCTTGGGGGTTTTAGGTTGCAAACCTTTAGCTATAGCGAATAACATCTACATTTATAGGGGATGCCGAGGGCAGATTGGTCACTTCATGAGTGTGCAGTAAGACGATAGTGAGGCGGTGATGAGGAGTGAGTTGGAGAATAAGTCATCATTTGCTCCACAAGTATTGGTTTGTGAGTGGCGGGAGATCACTTCGGTAGCATTGCATTGAAGTGACCATCAAAGACATAATGATGATCATCAAAGACATAATGATGATCATCAAAGATTAAACAATGTTGAGAAGTCTTCAAGACTGTTGAGGACAAAGACATAATGATGATCATCAAAGATTAAATAATGTTGAGAAGTGACACGTATGCTGACAGGTTTGAGATAAGGGCAATCCTTTAGCTTCGTCGAGAAGCAAAGCCCATAGGGTCATATCTTTGAGTAGCTGACTCTCGTGTCGACCGACACTGCCTTTCGCGTCGACTCAGGAGTGTCGGCCTGTCCGACTGGTTGGAATTTTGTTTCATCTCAACTAATAACCGTCTCTCGAGTTGAAATAAAGATGTCGACTCGTCCGGGAGATCAGGATCTCTCATGTCGACCATCACCGCTTCTCGTGCCAGCACTGAGGTGTCGGATTGTTAGGCTGGTCGAGATGTTGACTCATCAAGTCATATATTCGTGGAACAGATATGTCCCGTAACAGTTAGCCCATTTTTCTTAGATTCGGCTTGAGCCAAATCCGAGTAAAATAAAGATAATCACAGGATAAAATAGGAGAAGAGATGGTTCATCTATAGATGGAGGCTGAGTCCGAGAAGCGTCGTAGGATGACGGCCGAGGCAGAGGCTCAATCGAGTCGCTGTTCTCTCGAAAAGACGAGGAGGGACTTTAAAGAGCTCCAATCAAAGCTTCGAGCATCCATGACCCTTGTCGATAAATTGATCGCATACAACCTAAAAGTCTTTTCCTTTGTCTCCCTCTTCTTACCCCAGCAGGTCATCGTTGTCCAACAAAAAGTTGAGTTTTTATAAGCTACATGTCCAATTGCATACGTGGTTGTGATGGGCCGCCAACATGTTGTGAAAGTCCAGCTTCATCACCGTTCCTGCAAAATTCTTGTCGTCTCCGTCGATTTGGTCAGCATGCGTATAAGACATCCTCCTCCACCATCACCTCTAAACCATCATGAAGATCCTCATGAATTTAATTCAAAGCTCTATGAACCCTCTACACTATTCGCTGATACAAAGATGGATGTACTCTTGGATATGTAACTATGACAGAAAGTTCTAGACCCTTATTTGCAATGGCTTCAATATCATCAATAGTATTTATCTACAATTAAGTTAAAAAGTTGCATATATAAATAATTTATAGTAATAAAAAATAAGTAGACGTGATATTTGATATTCGATTTGTAGTAAAAAAATTACAAATTCTCTCTCATCTAAACCCCTAGGCACATATATTATTTATTTCCATCTTCTAGTAATCCCTCAATACCATTTAATGTAATCCAAATTCCCTAAACTTGTATTAGGACTCCCTAATCTGTCTAATGCGATACTTATACCATATAACTAATTAGCTCATATATATATATATATATATATAATTATATTATAATTATATATATTATATATATATATTACCATCTCTATCTATATATATATTAGTAGATATACATACTATATATATATACTATATATATTATGAGGCATCCTATGAGTATGTTGGTACCTCGAAGCACAAAAATTTTGCTTGATAGTGAGGTGGCAATTATGCCTCCACGTCAATTTAAATGGGGGACACATTCACATGGGTTGACATGTGGTCTCCCCAATTGAGTTAGGTGTGGATGGAATGGAGACACCTTACTACCAAGCACAAAATTTGTGCTTGGTACCAAAGCATAGCCTTTCTCTCCTTTCGTTCTCTTTCTATATATTTATATATATATATATACCGATATATATACAGATATACCTATATATACTATTATAGTATAATAAATAGTATATACGCCTATATTAGTTAGTAGTACATATGATTATAGGAAAACTAGATCAACAACACACCGTACATCTTTTATTAAAAAAATCTTAAGTTTGCTTTTTTCAGCTAAATACCCACCATTTCCTTAACAGAAGTGAGAGATTGAGAAAATTTTTGGGACAGTTCTTGACAAATGAGGGGGCGATTGGAAATTGGGGGACTGTTTGAATATAATATTTGTTGGTCAAGCAGGGTTAATTTGTAATTTAATTAATTTGTTTTTATGAACTATTTGACTGTATGTATATATATATATATATATAAGAAATTATAATATATAGCTTTAAAAATATGATATACTTTTGAGGTTAAATAATTAATATTGTATGCAGTTATATATAATAATATAATCGGTTAAAAGCTGAATCTTATAAAGGTTGACTACCATCTTCTATGCTCCCACCTAATGAATGGGCCTAGATCAACAGACTTTCATTTCTATTTTTTTTCGATCGAACTTTCTCCGTTAGGGTATGAACTAAGAGACTCTCCACGTTTACAACGCCAAAACACACCCAATTTTGGGGTGAACACGTCTATGTTTGACCAATCGTTGAGCCGTGCAAAAATTCTATTCATTCGAAACCGGGTAAATTGCAGCGAGTGGATAAAAAGGGTCTAAAACACGAACGTTTACTCTAAAATTGGTGGTGTTGGGTTTAAGGACGTGTAGATCAAGTTCAACGGAGCGGATCGCAACAAGGAAATGATGATGATCAATACCGGCGT